CGCCCCCTACCCTTCCATCCACCTCTTAACGTTAATCCTCACCCTCTTAACAACCATTACCAACCATTACCAACAATTTACATTAACCACCGTATACACAATACATTAAAAATGCCCTCCTTATTTGAAATAATCCAAATTCTTTACATAATTCAAATTCTTATTTCCGTAACCACCATTTGCCTTGCTATTTCTTTGACTATCCTTACATCTAATTCAGGTTCTAACAATTTACCATCAGATGTCTACGCAACATTTGTGTTTTCAACACTTTCATTATTGGCAAGCATAATTCTTTCCATACCCTCAATCGTTCGCAAATTCAACTATACTTTTCACGTCTTGATCAGCAAAATTATTTTGACAATTTTATGGTTTATTATCGCAATCATTATTATCGCCAAAGCCAATAATGAGTCTATTATAGATGTCAATTTTGTTAAAGATATAAATCTTGGACGTGCAATTGGAGTATTTATTTGGATAAATTTCGTAACATGGTCAATTTCTACCATTCTTCACCTTAAAATGCGATCACGAGAAAATTTGACGAAAAAAAGAGATATTAGTAAAAAAATCATTATACAAAGTACTAATTATAGTCGAAATAGTTTTTATTATGATCAAGATGCAAAAGTTTTAACAACACCTAAAATCATTAAGGAAATTGATGATATGATTAAGAATCCAGAAATGATTCTTCAACAATCTAATCAAAACTCAGAAAAACAACCTATTGCTGAATTGGATTATTCAATTTCAAATACGAATACTACTACTTATACTTTGGTAAATACTTCAAATACTGAACGATCATTTGTTCTTGCACCACAGGTAGCTGTAACGAATGATTATTATTCTACGTCTGCAAATGAATTTGATCAAAAGAATTAATCCTAAAATCGTAGAAGATATAAATTAACGGTTTAAAGGATAAATGTTTTTTATATACGTAGTACTGTATACGTAATACTGTATATATCAGATATGTAATACTATGTACGTAATATATACTATATTATGTATTTCATTCATTTTATTCAATTATTATGTTTT